TAGAAAACATATTTACTATATCATCAACAATTATTTCTGAAACCCATCAGAAGCCAAGGTGGTGCCAGAAGTCTGTTTAGTGTAGAAGCATTCAAAGAGGGGGAGAGAGAGGGAGAAGTGGGATTTTTGAAGGCTGCTGCCTTTAACTCAATCAGACCCAATAATGGTGGGCCAAACACAGCAGAAAAACATCACTGCCCAGATTAAAATATAACCTCTTCTGGGTATCGGAAACATAGTATTTCTCATCACATTTTACAAGGTAAAGTGGATTGCTTCTTAAAAACATAGATTTCAAAGTTGGTTATTGTAAAGAAGAACTAGTTACAATAAACTTTCATACAACTAAATTATTCAGCAGTGTCTCAGAAAAGTCTTACAAAATTAATTTAAATGTTGTTAGGTTTATGGGGATTCGGAGCTGACTGCAGCATTTATATAAATAGTTACAATAAATACGAAGGTTTACATTGGAGGGAGATGCCTATTGCACTGCCGTGAAGACTGATGGCTAGTCTTAGAGCTAGTTTTAATTAGAATATTTGGCAATGCTTCAGAAAACAAAAGAGCTCCCTTATGTTATGAAACCTGATGAAAATATGCTATTTCCTTGGGAATCCAAAAGAGTAAATACAATAAAATTTGCATACTTACCAGCAAGACAAGGAAAAACAAAGAGCCATAAACCAATGTCTGTAGAAGTAAAGCTTCTGCCGAATTTAAGGGGATAGCTCTGGAAAAGGAATTCAGGGAACAGTGCAACCCTACGTTGGGAAGATGTAAAAATAAGGCCTCTGCAAAAAAAACGAAGTCTTGTTATCATAAATATAATCAGTTAAAAGTCATGTTATGTTTAATAATAATTTCTGTATGCTTTTAAAGCTTTTTTTGTGTTCCAGTTTGAAAAACACTTAGTACATTCTCAGCAGTCAGTTTTACGGCTACTTTTTTTGTTGTGTTTTTTTTTTTTTTCATACTTTCTGTTCTTTTCACACGGTAGAATTGCTGCTGTGAATTTTGCTGTGTGACAGTGAAGTGGACGGAATTATGGCACTTTCCATTCGTCGCATCTTGCGGCTTGTTTCAAAACAGACGTTCCGGGACGTGCGGGCACGGCGGGTAGCTGTGCATCTGACTCCTGCCGAAGCCTGGGTATTGCGGGGGCTCTTGGTTCTCCGTTGGGTTTGCTTGAGGGGGTTGTCACGGAGGTAGAGAGTCTGAAAAAAGTGGTACGGGCTTTTATGTGGCTGCAGTCTATGCGGACAGGCTGCCCACAGCCACGGCCATGGGAGCGGAGCTGGCAGGGAGCCAGGCAACTTGCGAAAACGTTTTAGCACGTTTGCGCTTGACATTTTGGTTGTGGTTAAATGGAGTATCGGTGCATTGATGACCAGCTGTTTTCAAGTCTGCATCCATCTTAAAGGCTTAATTTTATATAAAAATAGCTTTGGGGGATGACTTCGGTGAGGTAGCATCTTTGTTTCTGTAATCTCACAGCACAGTAACGCTGCATGTCCTGAATGTATGAGAACGAAGTGAAAAGAGTAACGCAGGCTGGAGCAGGTTGTTGGCTAGGAGCCCTCCTCCCACTAGCTCTTTGCCCAAAGGAAAGAAAGTTTTAACTTTCTTCATGGGTTAAGTTTTGGCTTTTTTGTCACATCTATAAAGGTTTCAAAGAAGGAGGTAGGACTTCTCTTGTGACTAAACGGCATCTGGCAAGAGAGTGATGTGGAACTGGGCTTTAAGGGACTATCATGACGAAGCTATAAAAAGTGGTATTACTGGTGAGAAAAGTGATGCTGGAAGTGCAGCGGCCGGAGGAATCAGCCCTGCAAGTGTTTATTCATTCTGCCTGACATCACCATGTGCAACAACGCTGTGTACGGCTGATCGATAAGGTGCATGAGGTTGCAAATTCCTGGCTTCAGGGGACCACCACGTTCTGAGCTGAGGGGCTGCGACAACTGGAGAGTTGAGGAAAGTCTGAAAGAAACCTGAAGAGTACCTTCCTCTGGTGTTTTCAATGCCTACCTCCTTCATTCCGGTAAGTAAAGAGCACAGACGATCTGTCCATCAGCACAGCTCTGGCAGACTGAGCCTCCCAAAGGCTATGATGATAATTAACTCCTAAATGTTGCAGTTTCTTTGAAATACATTTCCAATTCTTTGAGGAAATAATTATTTCGCAATAAACCAGTCTTGCTTAATCCAGACCTTATTTATTGTATTCTGAAGCACACCTTGAAATGCAACACTGAACACAAATTTCTCTTTGATTGGTTTAATGGAAACAATTTATCTCTTCAACAAGCACTTGCTTTCAGAATGAAACCTTAGCGTTTTACTTTTTATCTGTCTTGTCAATAATTGATTTTTTTTTTTTTCCCTGCTGGCCCCACCTGGAGCTGTCATATACCTCTCAAAAGCATGTAATCTGAAAACGTGCCAAACAAAGTTTTTATTTTTCAAACCAGTCAACTAGTTACCAGCTGATCTGACAAATATGTCACACAAATTTATTTTTGGAAAAACAGTTTGTTCAGCTGGCACTTGAGTGGAAGTTTGATTAACAAAATCATAACTAATGCCCAACTGTTATTTTTCTGATTTGAATATTTCATATAATAGACAATAGACTTATAGAACTATTCAGGCTGGAAGGGACCTCAGAGGGTCACCTCATCCACCTTCCTGCTCAAAGCAGGATCAGGTATGAGATCAGGTTGCTGGAAGCTTTATCGACTCTTAAAAACCTCTGAAGATTTTAACACGACCACAGAACCTCTTTGGGCAACTGTTTCCAATGCTTGGCTATCCTCATGGTAAAAAGGTTTCTTTACAACTTGCTGAAACCTCTCTTTTTTCGGTTGATGTCCATTGTTTCTCCTCCTCTCTCTCTGCTGGGTTGGGGCTCGTGTTACTAAGGGATAAACCCTTTTATTTCTCCTCAGTATTTCTACATGCGTTAGGAGGACAATTACAATATCTTGCTCTAAGGCAATGAATCTAAACAAAATTTTTCTGCTCTTTATGTGCTGTATCAAAAGCTGAAAACTCATCCTTGCATGTAAGGAAAACAGAGTTCCAATGAAGCTCTGACCCAGAGACTGGAGAGCACAGTTTTCCTATAAAAGATGTTCTTTCATTAAAAAGCCTATTATAACCTAAACACTTTATGATATATTTTCTTTCCAAGGAACTTTTTCAATCTCACTGAGCATGCTGAAGTCATTATATAGTTACTAGAGATGCGTCTTTGTCCAGACAGACTTACTATAGGTTACATTTCTGCAGGAGATTAAAAATGATGTATTAGTAGATATTCTTCTAAAAATACTCTTTTAAGTAATATGTATCTGCATCTTCCCAAGCCTGGAAGAACATATACAACAGCGAAAGCAATACAGCAAATAATTCAGGGCAAATAATATATAACCATGAGAACTTTTACCACTGTATTTATTTAACTGAAGGGAAACATGTCAAAATGTGAAAGCTTAAGCACTCCAGTTTATTCACATATTTTACATTCAAAGGACCAACAGAAATATTTTTTTTTTTTTCCCCCAGAAAAAAAGATTCCTCTTGTGGTTTCCAAAATTTTGACAGAGACATGGAATATACTTAATGAAGCATGTCACTGCAGTGCATACAATGAAAGCCTTGTGTATATGGAAAAAAGATAAAAAACAAACAAATTCGAGCATTACCAGAAAAAGATTTCCTTTAATATAAATAAAATTCAGAATAGTGCTTTATTTTGACAGACAACACAACAGTGGGATTTATTAACAACTACGTATTTACAGTGCCTTACTGGTAAAATATGGGGCTTCATCTGAGATTCTAGACACTTCCTGAGAAGGCAACGTGGATTGAGGATTGCTCAGCACTTCACATAAGCTAGGTACTAAAGGGTGAAATTAAAGCATACTTTTAACATAAGTAAGATGGCAAAGGTGGGAGTGCTGATGCATTGTGTTTATGCCTTGATACAGCAAAACCTCCACCTCAAGTACTCCCTTTGATTTCCGTAGATCTATGTATGCTCCTAAGGTTAAAGACAGGATAAGTGTTTCAAAACCAGGAGCCTCAGAGGAAGAACTACTTGACTCAAAGATGCTATGAGTAGAGAAAATTGCTGTAATTAAACTTTACGTGGTATGGAGGCACACGATCTTGAATGTAAATCTGTATTCTTCTGCACGGGTGATTTCTACCACTTTGCTTTTAATTTGATCCTACAAGGTCTGGATTCCAAGTATCTCTATCAAGTGACAAATTTGTGAAAGCACCTTCTTCCCACAGCCTCCAAAATCATAGTGCCAGTTTAGCAGATCTCAGTCTTTTTGGCAATTAAATAAAACAAAACCCACATCTTTTTCAAAGTATTCACAAAATAATCTTTCACTTATAAACCGGCTATCCCACCATTCTTGCATCAGATCCGACCTCAGCTCTTTAGATCTAAACAGTTCTTTAAAAGCTATAAAAATAAAGGATTGATTAATATACAAATATATATTTCAGAGTGATAAGAGAATAATATTAAACAAATTCCTTTTTTAATCTACTTTAAATTAAAAGAAATGTTTTCAAAAGTCTGGGCTGAAGCAGGTCTTTATCTATTGACTCTTTAATGTAACCCATTCCCTGCAGATGACCACATACAACTTAATGTAAGAAGCTCGGTACTACAAAAAGACAGTGAACATGTTTCCACTAGCGAAGCGATTCATAAAATCTGCTGCGCCATTTGGTTTTTAGTATCTTGCTTTCAAGAACTGCAGATATTTCCAATACTATAAACAAAACCTAAATCATGAAAAGTTTTGATCCTCTTTAGAAATTGGCTTCTTTCCCTGGTCTTCATCAATATGTTTTGCAATAATCCACCTTGTTTTGTGTACTGTTTCTCTACAGCATAATATAAATGCTCTGCACGAATGCACACATATGTACAAAACCAGTCAGTAATTCAGTTAAGAGATATGCCTGCTCACTGGGTCATTTAATACTTTCACAATACCGTATTTTTCTGTAATATCCATAACAACATCACTTAGGTTGCTCCCTTCTTCAGCCGAGATGCTCACGCATATTTTCCTTCCATTTATCTCAAGCAGGAACAGCAAGGAACATTTTTGAACAACCTGTAATATTCTTCCTGAATCTGAAATAAAAATATTGAATTCAATATGAAACAGATTTATCTATTTATCTATAGGTTAATGGCGTTATATCCAGCTCTACAATTTCAAAAAACATTTTCCCCTCTTGCACACATTGTTTTCAAAACTGGGAGAAAATACGTGAGAAGGTGTTGCGTGTCCAGAGAAGGGCAACGGAGCTGGTGAGGGGGCTGGAGCACAAGTCTGATGAGGAGCGGCTGAGGGAACTGGGGTTGTTCAGTCTGGAGAACAGTAGGCTGAGGGGAGACCTTCTCGCTCTCTACAACTACCTGAAAGGGGGTTGTGGTGACGTGGGTGTTGGTCTCTTCTCCCAAGTAACCAGTGATAGGACGAGAGGAAATGGCCTCAAGTTGCGCCAGGGGAAGTTTGGATTGGATATTAGGAAAAATTTCTTCACTGAGAGGGTGGTCAGGCATTGGAACAGGCTGCCCAGGGAGGTGGTGGAGTCGCCATCTCTGGAAGTGTTTAAAAAACGTGTGGATGTGGCACTTCAGGACATGGTTTAGGGGACATGGTGGCGCTGGACTAATGGTTGGACTCAATGCTCTTGAAGGTCTGTTCCAACCTTAGTGATTCTGTGTGATTCTGTGTGTGATTCTGTGTAAGAATTGGGCAGAGGTTCTGCCTCCACTGAAAGCAATAGCAAAGCTTCCCCTCTTCCCTCCTCTCCCCCATCCATGGTACAAGGATTTCCTCCCGTGCTCTGATAAAATCTTGGCACTGTGACCACCTCAGGGCTGGGCACCTCCCTGTGTGGGTGCTTGTGACTACCCGTGCCCCTTCCCACACGGAGCGGGACACTTACCTTCCTAGACAACACGCAAAGAAATATGAAGATGAACATTCCCTGGAACGCGTTGAAGATTGTAAAAAGATACGCGGTCACCACGGATCCCTGTACGACGTGGAGGACCCCAAAGATCCAGGTAGCCCCAAGGAGGAACAGGAGAGCCAGAGCACCTCGGGCACAGGACCTGGGCAGGAAGGAAGCATTGGGAACAACGTGCAGGTGCGCGTTATTTTCTTTCCTTCGCTTTGAACGGTGAATGCCGCCTGAGCAATTTTTTCTCGGCTGCAAAGGCCTGAGAAGTGCAAATGCATGGGCTGCTCTTCAGGGTGTGCTGTAGCACCGTGGCACAAGCTGGCTCACGCGATCGCCGCCGAAGAGCAAAGGAGTAAAACTGGAGGGCCTTTAAAACACTGGCTGCTTTAATCTTCAGATATGTTTTCTCTGGTGTACTGCAGCACCATATGATTTGATTTAAATCTACTGTTAGCGTAATTCCCCAAGGAAAAACATATGTCTGTTATGAAGCATTCCCTCACTTTTCCTCCTCCCCCTTATCCTCCTCAAAAAATAACCCAGAAAAATGTACAGTATGCGCTTAGGTCAGGACATGTGCGTGACATCAAAGGGTTCTCAGGCTGCCTCTCCGGCTCACTGCAGAAGACGGTTCCAGCTGTAAAACTAGACTTTCTTTCTTTCATTCTTTCTCTTTAAAAAAAAAAATAATTTTGTTTTTAGAACACAAACGCTCTCAAATAGTTCCTGGGCCAGCATACTGACGCTTTCAAATTATAGTAACTGATTGGCTATGATTTTTTTTTTTTTTCCTAATGTGCTGTAGAGCCCTGCTCACAGACTCGAGCAAATTACAGCATGTTGTCTTGGAAATGAAGCCACTGATTACTTTCTTATTCATTCTCAGCCCAGTCATTGCAGGACTTCCTTTGAACAACAGACATTTTTAGCACTGTTTCTCTGAAAATGAATAATTTTCAACTTCATTAAAACCAGCTCACCACATGAAGCTACGAAGGGTGAGGAATAAGAGAAAGTAATCAATCAAACAATTGCTAAATCCTAACTATAAATCTAGTGCAATGCATTGAAACTGCGGGAGTGTTCCTAAGCAACACAAACAGTAAGTTGTTTTCAATGTTCCCTGTAGTACACTTCAGCTTTTCCTGCACAAACGGTTTTCAAGGTCCCTATAAATCAGTTTTAAAGAGAGGGAGCTGATGGAAAAATCATAGCAGCATGCAAAGTAAAAATCCTGGAGAGAGCCCTCTCCACCCCTCCCACGCCAGAGAAGCACAATGTCCTACTGTAGAATTTTACAAACGCCATGAATGGCTCGATTCTCTTATCACTGAATCACTTGTGACTTCAAGGCAAATATTTTGGTCCCAATTCAGGCGTAAGTTTTGAAATCTGGTTTGGCTTGCATAAAGGCTGTGGAAAGTACTTCAGAAAAAACGACAATTACTTCTTTAACCTTGCCGTCAGGCTTTACCCTCTGGTTGATACAGACTACTCATTGTATTCCTCCTGCACATCTCACACAAGGTGACTGTACGAGGTGTTGTTCAACAGGAATAAAGATTGCAAAATCTACCTCCAAATCTATATGAGGGGGTAACAGAAAAACAAAAAACATCATCCTTTTTCTGCAAATCTCCCAGAAGATTAAACTGTTATTTTTGAATACTCACTTGCATCTCTGGCTGTATTTAAACTTACAGAAGGTAGAACTTGTATTAAATGGCAAACTTACCTTATATTTTCATAACAACTAACTTCTGGCTTTAACATTGCAGTGTGTCGAAATACTTTATAAATAATCACTCCGAAAGCCAACAAATTAACCTGGGGAGAGTGAAGAAAGGAACTTTTAGTTCAGACCAGGATGCTTTTGAATTTCAGTAACTGTTACACATTTAAATTAAACAAGAGAGATAAAGTTTCTGTGTATATGAAACCTACAGAATCCAGTGCTGGGAGGGGAAAAAACCCCACCCTTTTCTGATCCACTTCTATTAAAAAAATATGAGCCCAGTAATAAACATTGATCAAACAGGGCTGTAACTCTACCTTATCTCAACAGTATCGCTACCAACAGTCTGCAAATGTTTATTGATTTTATTGGTAAATCTCTTCGATTTCCTTCTGAGATTTTTTTCCTTAAGTAGAGATGTTTAAGAACAGAAGAGAAGGAAAAAAAAAAAAAAGGAAAGGAAAGGAGAGGTGAGGAGAGGGCAACGGAGAAAACCAAAAACCCCCTTCCCCCATGGATTTTCTATCGTACCGTATCATGTAGATCTTGACAAAATTTACGTCTTTTGTTGCTGAATAACATTAAGAACATCATATGTTCAGAGGTCTTTGCGGTGTGAAAATGTTCAAGCGGCACAAAAAATCTTTGAGGTTTACACGAAGAATTTTTAAAAAAATAACTTTGGTTGAAAGGTTCCTTGCTGCATATTATCTCTTAAATTTTATGTTTGTTTCATAGGTGAATAATTTCAGTATTTTTTTTTTCCTGCCTTCTTTATAATGGCATTGCTTTATTTGAGTTTGAAATAAAAAAAAACAACTAAAAGAAGCAGTTTTGCAAATGATGTTCAATTATGGTTCTGAACCTCTGTTTGCTCGGCTAGACTTCACTGATCTTTCATTTAAATTTATAGTGCATTCCTTTAACAATGTGGATGGGTTTGCTTTCTTGCTTTTTTAAAAGAAGTCTTACTTTGCTTTGCAGCATTTAACATCAGAATCTATTAAAAATGTTTGTAAATGAACCAAATTTTAGCTGCATATCCTCCAGATACTATTTGTAGATTCTTGGTTGTAATCCCTTGGCTGGTTCCTGTGGGCTTCCAGCTATAGAATGAATAGAATTAATGTCTTCCCCAACTTGTTTCTCCAGAAAGACAGTGTGGTTTTCCTCCCCCTTTCTTTTTCTTAAAAAAAAAAAAAAAAAAAAAAAATTCCTCTGAAATGAAGACAAAAGTCTGCTGGAGGACCGCAGCATCAGTGTAAAAAGAATCACTTTCATTTGTTAACACTTGTTATGTATGTCCTTAGAACATTTTTGTTGTGTCAAGGGGGGAGTATCTGATATGAAATGCAGGCTGTGCTTTAATTAGCTGCATGCTCATACTTTAATACAGCATAATGTATTTACAATTTGATAAGACAGGAGATAGAGCTGATTAGCAGTTTAGGGAATTAATCCTTCACTGGATACCTTGTACTTGCACTGATCATGAGAGCTATTTTGAAGCTCCTTGTATTTAAAATTGTAATCTATAATATCTCCTAAACCAGCAATTTTTCAAAGTTAATTATAAGTCAGTTAGCAGTTGTGGGTAATTATATGCAGACTTACTTTTTATCTTATATTTGTTGGTGACTAATGTATGAAATAACTTAGTGCACACACTGTAGTCTGCATAACCCACCTAATGTATTTATTAATGTGAAAAAGGTAGGGTGGAATGTGATCAAAGTACCACGAGCATGGAGAATACAGACTTACTCAGAAACTGTTATCGAGATTGCAAACACAAACCACTCAACCAACCTTCCTCTCTGCTGGCCCCTCGCCAAGATCACTAATGTCAACGAGAGCCTTCCTATTGCCTTTAATAGGCTCGCTAAGAAGCTCTGTGGGCCAAACCCCGTTATCCTTCGGCCACATAAACCAGCTGCAGAACTGGAGAGGTTTTGCTGAGCAATGGTGGGGTGGCCAATGAATGGATGTGGGGCCTCGCGGCAGCGGACTCCATTGCTCTTTGTCCCAGAAGGGCTCCTTTACACAAATAATATTTACGCTGTGCGTTGCACAGGATAATCGGATTTGGCCCTCTGCATTAAAGCAATACCCATTAACTATGATCTTTTCATTCATCAATTCATTCTAATGGGAATAATCTGCGTGTATCGGGGGAGCGGGAGAGGTTCACGCCGGCTTCTCGGAGTCAGCTGCCAGAACACAATTATTGTACAATAAGCCTCAGGTAGCCTTGCAGGAGGTAGTGTTACAGGGTAATGAGGGTGAGCTTAACTTCTGAAATACCCGGTCATTTCCAAGATTTATTAAAGTCTTAAGTCAGTTTTTGCCCCATTTTGAAGCACTTCATCAATAAAAAATATCTATACCAAAGTGCATAGACTGCCTTTACACAATGTTCAGTGTCTCAAAACGGTAGCTTTAGGCAACATACCAATTATTTTTTCTTTTCAACCTAAGTTAGAGCCCTCTGGCACTGTGTTTTGTCTTTTGGGGGACAAAATAGTCAACAACAAAGTAGTTGTAACTGTCTTGTGACACGGAAATCCAGCAAAAGTTGAGGGGAAACAATAACATGAACTCATGGGTAAATCCATGAGAAAAACTAGTTAATGCTAATAATGTGTCAAGTGTGGCCTTTAGAGGTAATCTAACAGGTATCCTAAGCTTAACATCTGCGGCTGCGACCTGGTACCTTTCATATTCTTTGCTATGAACATACCAGTAGCCTCAGCTGTTTCTGGGAACTGGAAAGTAAAAAGTTCACGATGGAGAGTTGGACTGAGTAGGACCAAAGGAGACGTGGCCTTTATATAACTGATACCCTCAAAAAGCCATTCGTATTTCAACAAATGGGGTAGGAAGTCAAATCACCCAAAATGCCTGACCAGACATAGAACCACCGAAGGCTTTTGAATTTGTATCCAAAGCTGAGCTTCAAATGAGCACAAATGGAGGTAGCAGGCTGAAAAAGGCACCCAAAATATAGATAGGCACAAGGAAACCTGGATCCCCAAATCTTCCAGTTGGGACAAATTGAGGGACTTCTGGGTGAGAGACACAAAAACATCTAAAAAGGCTTCAGCTGCTACTTATAGCCAAATATTGTGTTTTATACATACTTTGGTTGTAATTGCGTGTTTTCGTTTTTGTAATTAAAGCACAATCTTCAGATCTTGTTGAACAAACCTTCCATGACGTTATAATTAAGGCTGCCTTGAGGTGACAGGCAAGGTGAATGAGAATGAAACAGCAGACATAAGGCACACACTCTCCGGAGCGGCAGCAGGCTGGAGGAGGGCAAGAGGTGCAGGTGACTGGAGCCAAGCTCAGGCCAGGCTTCGCACAGGCCTGGGGAGGGCCAGCCTGGGGAGGGCCAGCCTGGGGAGGGCCAGGCTTCGCACAGGCCTGGGGAGGGCCAGCCTGGGGAGGGGCAGGCTCCGCACAGGCCTGGGGAGGGGCAGCCTGGGGAGGGCCAGCCTGGGGACTGCTGCCGCCTCGTGCCGGCTTTGGGGAGAAGTCACCGGGGTAATGAGCAGAGCGACTCCGCAGCTTTGGGCAAACCCGAAGTATGAAATGTGGTGGCACGGCCACAGTTTTATCAGGTGAATAATGACATTGCAGCGTGACACGGTAAGTTCTCGTGCTTTTGTTTTCAGTGTTATTACATGGCTGAGCAGTCAGAGAAACTGCTGCATGTCCTGAGAGGGGCTTCTCGGCAAGTCTCATAGGCTAAAGGGGAATTGCATTGATTCCAAGCCCAGAACTGATTTTTTTTTTATTTTTTTTTAACAAACCATGCCAAACTGCTCTCGGGCAAACAGCGCACTCAGTCCTTTCTATTTCACAAAGGAAACCTCTGACTTTCTCCCTCCAAGCCCAATTGTGTGAGTTGCTGAACATCTTCAACCCTCCATCCCCCAAGATCCAGTGGGAATCATGTTTCACTCAGCGTGCTCAGGTGCACTGCAGGACTAATTTTAATAATTAATCTATTCCTTTTTTTTTCTTTTTTTAAGTGGTTAATCAAAGACAAGAGCTGATATAGGAACGGCCTACACTCATAGCATCTTCAGGGAATCATTTCTCCTTAAAGATGTTTGTAAAAGTATTTTTAGCTTTCTTAAATTCTAGAAACGTTGTGGTATATTTATGGACAAATGGTAGGACACTTAAAATACGTTTATGTGAAATAGGCATTTAATAAGGGCAGTTATTAGGACATCATGAGATCGTGATTCTGTACGTACGGGCAACTACATTTATGTATCTGTATAACCCAGGATAATCTTCAAGAAGCCACAAATCTGGATGAGCTAGGTTTTATTGTACACCTGTGACTGAGATTAAAGGGAGGATGGTAAGTGTTTGGAACAACTCTCTTGGGGAGATCACCTGTCTTGAGAGGTCAAGAGGATTTAGGACTTTGGAGTTACTTCTGGCCCTATTAAACCAATGGCAGAACTCCTGTTCAACAGAGAAACTCCCATTGCCTCCAGCATTGTCAAGGCTTTACCTCTACACATCACAGAGAGCGGCAGTCTCGAGGGATTCATGGGCGACAGTGGACACTGCTGTGGGTTTCGCTCTGCAGATTAACACTTGCATGTATCATGGATGCACTCTGTGGTACAGAGCCGGGGAGTGACGTTTTCCTGTAGCTATGGTTTGCGGATCTCCGTGGTAATGTTTAAGACAGAAACCGCATATTGGTGACGGTGATGGGTAAGATACAGCAGACATGCAAGGAAGAGTTCAGAGCTGTCTGGAGTGGTACAAGTCCTAGGACTGGATCTGACCCCCAGCCACAGCATTGGTCTGGATAATTTCCTCTTGTAAATAAATTCACAGGAGAGAAAAAGCAATTGCAAATTCAAAGAAATTTCCAGGTGCTTTCCTAATCATCTTGGCAACAAAAAAGGGGTTTTGCCAAAGGAATTAGCCTGGGGAGCTCTGTTCAATCAATCACATGTGTTTTAGGCTAGGATGGGAAAACCTGTGTGTAGCGTTAACCTCCCTCCACCTCGAGCTAGGATGGCTCTGTACCTCCATCTGCAGATTTGCATCCCTCCCT